GAGGCGAGCAGGAGCCAAGAAGGAGGTAGGAAAGATAGGCGTAGGGTTGGGATTGGACAGAAGCGGCTCATGGCGGGAAGGGTAGTTGAGTATCGGCGGAGGGTTGGGGGCGGTGGCGACGGTGATCTTGTAGTGAGGGTTTGAAAGAAGCGAAGATTTGTTGATGTAAGGAGACTGATTTTTATACATACTTGGACTGAATAAAAAGTGGAATTGATTTCATTTCGGTCTACGTTTAAGAAAGTTCATTAGTGATAGGTTTGACCTTTTTATTCACTCTCGCCGGTCCAACTGTGATTATAATAAAGTAAACTCAACTAAATTTTCAACTTTTGAATATTGAAAATTTGAGATTATTAAACCAATTCTAGACCGTAGAATATTGGTAGGATTTTTTTTTTATTTTGATTGTGTTATTGGTGAGAGGTCTTTCAATAATTAAATATTATATTTCTAAAATAATATTCTAATAATGTTTAAGATTTTTTTATGGTACATTACAATATAGTACCTAAACTATTAATATTAGTATGTTTTAGTACTTAAACTTTTAATTTTTTAAAATTATATCAAACATTTAATTTTTATTTCATTTTAGTACCCGTTGTTAAAAACTTAATGGACGGGTTGACGGGGCATAGCTCCGGTGGACGAACGATCAATTTGAGCGGTAGATCACGAGAGAAGACGAGTCGGCCAACATAATACAATTTCATGCCCATCGGATAGTTGATGACGGAGATTGGAGGATGAAGAAGTCAAAAAATCCATTGTTGATTTGGGGAGATTTAGGCATTTTCCAGTGAAACAGAGGTTGAAATAATTTTTAGTGTTCTGAAAAGTTTGGGTTTCATAGGCCGACGGATGCAACGATCGACAACAGTATATGTGGCAGCCGACAACCCAACAAGCCCGTCCGTTAAGGTTTTAATAATAGGGTACTAAAATAAAACAAAAACTAAATATTAAATATGATTTTGAAAAAAAATAAAAGTTAAATACTAAAATGGACCAAAAATAATAATTTAGGTATTAAATGTGTAATTTTATATTAAACTAGTTTTAAAGAGTTTTTAAGATGAAATAATATGATTTAAACTAGTTAAGCCTTGTTTACCCAACAATTGCGTTGGTCGATTCCTTTCGGGAGATGCATGTGAAAGCTGATATCACCAAGATTGATCAAGTGAGGTAGGTAGGCACATCCACCACTCTCGTACATCAGGAGAGTGTTCTGCTTGTTACTATGGCTCCATTTTCATTTCCGATCAAACATAACAGCGGAAGATAGAAATCATATAATATATTTTTAAATAGGGTAAAGTATAGTAATGGTCACTGAATATTTCTGAAGCTTGCATTTAGGTCCCCTAACTTTTAAAATTTGTAATACAGTCCCCCAACATTTAATCCATTTGCAATATGGTCCCGCACCTATGAAAATTAGGGTAAATTATATAAATGGTTTTACTAAACTTTTTAGGTACTTAAATTTAGGACCCCCAACTTTTAAAACTTACAAAACAATCCTCAATTTCATTCTAAACCACAAATTCCAAAGTAATTCAATTTCATTCTAAACCCTAAATTCCAAAATAATTCAATTATATTCTAAAACCCAAATTCTAAAATACTTCAATTTCTGTCTTTTTTTATAAACGATGCCAATGTCACTAACTTATTAATTAATTTACTTTTTATATTTAAAAACATATGATAATTTTTTAATATTAATTTAAAGACATAAAAAAATTTCAATAGTAAGAATATATGATAATAATTCATTTATTTAAAAATAAATATATTTCTGATTATTTGTGTATGGTTTTATATCTAATCATATGTGTTAATATATTTTATATCTTTCGTATAAATATTAAGACTACATAAATAGCAGAACCAAAATTTTTATATATGAGTTATGTTAATTATAGTAATGATGTATAAATATATTTTATTTTTATATTATTTCTATTATAATTAAAATATAAATATTACCATGATAATTAAATATTCATTTACTTATTACATCGAATATTTTTTGTAGAAAAATTATTTAATAAAATCATAAAAAACACAATAAAAAATAAACATTGAAGTTGACTACTTCAAAAATAAAATTAAAAAATCAATAATTTAATATAATATACTCTAAGTTGATGATAACAATCAACTCAAGAGATGGGGTTTGTATCATATTTTCGTAACGTACGTAAACTTTCTATTTCATGGTCACATATTCTTTTAGTTCTAGCACGATCTATTTTTTAATTTTCTAATACACTTAACAAAATTATATTATAACTCGTTAAGTGATTTCATAGGTAAAAAAATGTTATTTTCTTTAAAAGTTTTAAATTCAAACAATTATGTTTGTAGGGTATATCTATATTATTAATAAATTATTTTTTTTGAATAAATACTATCTTATAATCACATCAAACTATTAAAAACTAAATTATAATTGAAATAAATAAAAATTATAAGGATGTCAATTGGGGATTTTGATTCTTAATTTTTTCATTGAGAGATTGTGTTTTTTTATTCAATTTCTTCCATAATCATTTTTTTATATTTAAATTATTTAAGGTCACTAAATTTACATTTACGAGGAGGGAGTGTATTTTTTTTCTTCACAAAAGTAAAAAAATCAAAACGCTATCACGTTCTTAAAGATAATCTAGTATATTCCTCCTTAAATTGAAATATTTTAGAATTTGGGTTTTAGAATGTAATTGAATTATTTTGGAATTTAGGGTTTAGAATGAAATTGAATTACTTTGGAATTTGGGGTTTAGAATGAAATTGATGAATGTTTTGTAAGTTTTAAAAGTTAGGGGACCTAAATTTGAGTGCCTGAAAAGTTCAGTGACCATTTATATAATTTACCCTAATTTTCATAGGTGCGGGGACCATATTGCAAATGGATCAAATGGATCAAATGTTGGGGGACTGTATTGCAAGTTTTAAAAGTTGAGAGACCTAAATGCAAGCTTTGAAAATGTTAAGTGACCATTACTATACTTTACCCTTTTAAATATATGATTGTTAGGATAAAATATTGATGAAAGTGTTAAAAGAGAATCCTGAATTTATGAGAAGAAATAATGATAAAATTAATGATAAAATGATATATTAGTTTTAATATAATGATAATGATAAAATTAATTTTCAGTATTAGTTTTATCACTTGAGACTTAAACTATTGATATTATGATAAAATTAATTTTCAATATTCTGTAAATACTTATTTTTATTTGTTTCAAGTATTTTAATTTTTAATAATTTATTTTCTAGTCAAAATTATCTTAGATAAAAATCATTAGTGGACTAATAATCAATACATATTACTGATATGCTATTTGCATTTGTATTTAATTGAGATGTGAGATTTTAACATACATTTAATTGACAATAATGACATGTATCACATTAATTATATGGTGAAGTCTGTGTACCGTACCAATTAAATGATGATGTGATATGTGTCACATCATTTAAAGTAATAACGTGATGTGTATCACATCATCAAAGTGAGGGTGTGATATATGTCACACGCTACTAATTTAGTATATGTAATATATAAAACGTAAATACTATATATTAACTGATAGACAAGTAATGTTTTTCATCTAATATTGACTAATTTGACAAATAATTAAAATTTTAAAGGCTAAACTACTCCAAAAATAAGAAATAAAATTATCATTTGTATAAATTTTGATAGCTAATTTTGTCATTATACCTAAACTATTTTAAGATAAATTAATATTATCAATTACCAACCTATTATTTTTTATTCTAAAAAATAAATTAGTTTTTTTTATAAAATTCTCATTAACATTGTATTTTCTATTTTTCATCATCATCCATAAATAATATTGACTAGGGTTGTAAATGAGATGAGATAGTTCGTGAGCTATTCGAGATCAACTCAGTTAATGCTTGATAAATACTTGACCTGAATGGACTACACTCGAGTTCGACTCGAGTTCTTAACGGTATGAAGTGAGCTACTTGATACTCGACTTAAAAAACTTGTGAGCAGTTCAAAAATATAATATATTAAGATTTTATTTTAAAAAAAATAAATTATTAATAATATTAAAATTTATGAGTTGATTTTTTGTAAATACAGAATAAATTTTTCATGTATTTAAGGTTCATGTTTTAGTTTTAGGCTTCAATTGAGTTAAATTTAAGATTCTTTTTTATGTCGAGCTTTTACGAGCTTTATTTCATGATTTATAGTTCAAGTAGAACTTGAAAATTTTAGGTTTGTGAGTTTTCGAGTCGAATTCTATTTCAAAATTTTTGAGTCGAGTTGAGCTTAGCAATATTCGAACTCGACTTGATTCATTTTGACATCGGTTTTTTTATTTTTTTTATTTTCTCAGTATTTTCTTTATGTGAATAAACATTCTATATGTCATTTTTATAGTAATTTTATTCATACTGATAAATTGTTATTATCTTATCATAAAAAATATTAAAAATAAATAAATATGATCCTCAAACCCAATATCTATGCACTTGATTTCAATTTTGGAAAATATCAATTTGATTACACGTCTAGGTATATAAAATGAAAAAAAATAAAAAATAATTTTCTAAAAAGTAAATAATAGATTTAATAAAATTTATAAATTGAAATATTATTAAGAGTAAAAAAATAAAAATGTTATTTTTTGTTACTTTTTCTAATATAATATTTTGAACGAAACTATTTTAAATTCTAAAAAGAATAAATTTAATGAGATATAAAAAGTAATATTTATTTGTTTATTTATATGCATATTATAGTGAATGAATTTTTATTATAATATTTATGAATAAAATATTATATTTTAATTGATATGGTTATTGTTGTATTATTGAAGCTCAAATGGTCTGGGATTTTGTTTAGAATCAAATTTGAAAAATACAAAGTATTTTTACTAATTTCACCAATTTATTAGCGCATTCTCAAGCCCTGTTTTATTTTATTTTTCAATTTATCTTTTCCGCCGCCGCCATCTCCTTCTTCCTCTTCCCCTTCTGATTCTTCATTGCCTCTTCTTTTTCTTCATCTTCCCCGACCTCCGTCCATTCACTCGTAGCAGTGCGTGTCGATACCGGTTTGGCGTCGCAAACGACGAATCCGAGCAACAGAGGTTAAGATATCCTGCCAAATTAATTAGTGAACTTTTGATTGCAAGACAGATTAAACATTTGATTTTGAATCTTTTCATTTTTAATTGCCATTTCTAAAACCTTAATTCTGATGTCTGTTTAATTACAGGGTTGATAAATATTCGTAGGCTGATTATGGCGACACAGCGAGAAGGGGAAGAGTCTCAAGAAACTACTACTACTCCGCCGGCTGGCCTATCGGAATTGGTGCGGGAACGATATAGGAAGATCAAGGAGCATGCTGAAACTTATCCTTATGTGTGGGCGTCTTACACGCTTGTTTACGGCGGTTTGGCACTTTGGACTATTTACAGATATAGAAAGCTTCGTAAGACAGAGGATCGAGTGCGATCCCTTCAAGAAAGACTCCGCAAACTTGTTGAAAATGAAGAATCAGCTAACTCTGGTACATCTGTTAGGAAGGCTCCAACTTCTGATGATAAAGTTCCTAAGTAGATACACGTTAAAAGTTTAGTTCTCCTTTTATTTAGGACAAAAAACAAAGTTTACATGCGGTTTGCAAATGCATTATCAAGGATTTTGTTGAACTAGCTAGTAATTGAGGAAGATATTGTATGGAAGTTGGGAGAAAAAAAAATCAGATATCAATTCAATTCTTTACACTGTTTTTATTAGAATGTGGATTTAAGATCCTATTTTCTTTTAATAATGTAAAGGCTAAATGCTTCTTGTAAGATGCATTGGCACTTGATGGTACATGTGGCATAGGTACTATCTCTATTATGTACACATTTGATATTGAGGATGGCCAGATGAATTCATTATCTCTAATATGTTGATTGCTTGTGCAGATTTAGCAACAGCATGATTGGGCGATCAGGTTCTTGGATATGGCATTATAAGTGTCATGGATAGGTTTCATGCTTGCTAAGTGTAGTGGCTATGTGCTATTGAACTTCTTTTATCAATCCCAAAAGCATTACGTTTGTGTATACATTCCCCTTTACAACCTTCTGTGCAAGCAGATTTTTCATCTTCTTCACTTCTATTCTTCATGCTCATGTGATTTACCTTTTGAGTACTACAGATTTGTTGAAAGCATGAATGATTATGAAGGTGAAAATAGGTAGAGCATTATTCTCTGTTGTTGACCTTTTTGGAAAAGATTGGATTTAGGTTGGATGCGCCCTAGGAATCAATTAATCTACCCAAGTTGGATGAGATTTTTGATTATCAAGGAAATTTAGGTATGTTTCTGAGAAGACTACTCCCGGAGCCAAAGGGAGCTCAGTGATGAACTATAACAGATAGTGTCCAATCACTTCCAGACTTATCCAATCACCAAAACTACTTCCTACTAGGTCGGTGAAGCATTTGAAATCATGTCCTGACTGTGACATGACAATTGAAGATCTTTTTAAAGGTGGAAATGAGAGAAATAATTCCCAGATATCTAATTACATTTTTTGTTGTTTCCTAGATGGTGGTTCCTGTGGAAATTTACTAGTAGGTGCAAGAGTTTAAGTTGTTGAATTGCTTCCCTGAAAGAGTTTAGTTCTTATGATGAATCTGGAAGAATGACGATGCACTGAATTGGAGAAGTTATGGAAAATGAATGTGAAACTTTAAATAGATATGTTTAGTTGCTCTGACCCGTTTCTGAAACGGGAGATTATTCTTGCTTCCAAATGAGAGAATGTTTTGATGTCTGCAGAAGTAACCATATCCAAGATAATTGCCCTTGTAAAGGCTATCTGCTAAGAATGTATGGTTCAAATTAACATTTTAATTACTGCTAAGAATTAGGCATTAAACAAAAGAAGCCATGTAGTAGGCTAATGATAGAAATTCTGTTATTACCGTTCCTTGTAAATTAATGCCAAATATACTGTCTTGGTCATGATATTTGCCTTAGCTCTTTTTACCCCTTTTTTCTCAGTATTACAATCCCCACCAATTTTCTCCTTCAACAAGTGTGTTCTGTGCACCCCATGCTTGATTCATAATTGCACATAGACATGATACACCTGAAACTTTGTACATGCCTATGCTTGTTTGAAGAGCAGTGTCTGCAGGGTAGACGATCAAGGTCAGAGCATGAGGACATGCTTTTCTCAGCTTGTATTTCCAAGTATATATAAGTAGAATTTTTATCCCCAAGGTTTCGACTTTGAATCTGGTGTTTAGAGCTTGCTCTCTTTTCCACACACAACATTCAAACTTCTATATCTGATTTGCATACTGTCTATATTTGCTTCTTCCTAGTATTTTCACCCAAAAAAAATGATTGGGATTTACGTTTTACAGTAATTTGAAGCATTAACAGACTGCAATTCATTCTAAGAAATCCAAATATGTCAAGTTTTTAAACTACTCTGTGAATGAATGAAACTCTGACGTCACTTGACAACTTGCAGAAACAGACAATGAAGAGGGTCCACTATGTTAATCGGATTGAGGTAAATTGTTCTTCGAAATGTTTGATTTTTTTTACAAGGTTTTCTTAAAATTTACACTCTTGTATTCATGTATGAGCTTTTTTCGGATACATAAACGGTGGAATGATATTCAACGTGAAGAACCGACAGCCGTTTCAGTTATGCAGCAGCCACTGAAAAATGGACAACCCAGAAAGAATCAAAATGGGACAGCTATGTCTTTATCTTGCATGTTTATATGTAAAGCCTCATGCATTCAATTACTTGCCTTTGCCACTGCCTATATATATCTTTGTCATTTTTATTACCAAACAGATTCCCTTTCTTCTCCAGACCTCTCTTTAGTTTGAGTTTGAGCTTTTCTTTGTTCATCTATGGCTGCTTCTTCTAGTATGGAAAATTTGAACAGAGAACTTATGGATATTTTCCGTTCTATGGAACAAGAAGTAAACCCAAAAAAGAAATGTGTCGGACACTTTCTTTGAAACGAAGAGTTGGTGGAACAACATAGGTTTTCTCAGTATTAGATTTATATAAAAAATTTACATCTTTCAAGGTTTGATGAATTCAAAACAATTTTTCAAAGATTAAGATTTCTGTGTGTGTTTTTTCCCCAATAAGGATCTTTAGAAGATTGATAAAATTCATATAAAATCAGTATGATGTTATACCAACATTCAGTGTGTTGGTGTTCATTGATTTTTTTTAGTAAAACATGCATAAAATTTTGCAGTGGTTCTTTAAATTGAACTCATACCATATGATGTTATCTTTGTTTGCCCCAATAATTAAGATCTGAATTCTGATGTTTGTGAATTCTTGCATATTCCTTACTTCTTTGCTTCGCTGCTGCCCACATTCTGCCATGATTCTGCAGAAACCTTCAGAGAATTGACCGCTGCTTTGTATGTTGTTTTCTTGAGATTTTATGGTTGCATTTGTGATGTGGATATCTTTTAATGTTCTTTTTTTCAACGTGGTCGGATTTGATTTGTGCTGTTTCTTGTCTTGCAGGGGTCAAACTGTGCTGAACTATCATGATCTGGTTGAACTGAGTATTAAGTTAAAAGGGAGCGCAGCGAGGTAAAATAACGTTTACCTGTTTTGTCATGCATTGTTCCTACAAAACAATTTTGGAATATATGGTTGAAATAGATTTAGGATCCAAAAATGAGCATTGATTTTTGGCGATCAACTTATACACCCATTGCACGTGGTGTTCTTGCGAAAGAATCAGAACTTACCGTTTGATGATTATCTTATTTGTTCATTAAATGAAACCTTTGTTGTTTATCTCCGAAAACTTTTGCGATACTAGTTCTGATTTATGAATATAGTTAAGGATATTTACAATTGATGCATACCAACATGTTTTTATGACCTTTCCATATCGCTTGTATATACATGTCATGAGAGTAGGATGCTGTAACTGTGAGCTCTGGTTTATTAAATTGAGCATGCATAGTCATTTATTGTTATGCCTAGGGAAATATAACGGTTCTTCTAGTGCGTGGACTGCACCTTGTGCTGTTGATTACACTGATTCTAGATAATCATTTCTTTGAGAAAGTAACCAACTTTCTTGAATATATTGTTGGACGTAGCATTCAATTTTACTTGATTCATGTTGCCAAGACAATAACATGCCATTGTGTTATTTCCGAGCATAATAATCTCTTGCGATATCTCTTTGGATGGTGTAGTAGTGATTGTGAATTTAAACTAAATGAATTTACTCTATTTGGTTTCCCAGCATCAGAGCTTGTCGTATGGCAGATGCTTGTGATGCAGTTCAACGAGCTGCTGAGAGGAGAGAAGACAAAGAAAGGTGAGGGTTTCTGTTGATCAATTTCTTTTATAATATTACTAATGGATTAAATGCATCTGAATAATTTCTTAATTTTCTCTACGAAAGCATTTTCTGCTATCCATCACAAAGAGTGACTCTGTCCTTTGTGAGAAAGAAAGAAATGTGGATTGGCTGTCAAATCTTCAGGCCGAAAAAAGACACCTTCGATATTGTGAAAATACAGCTCCTTTATCTTTATTCATGGGCTTTGTCTTGTCATGGAAAAGATTTTCCGGAGGCTATTTTTTTATAGAAGTTGGAGGTCTCATTAAAAACTCCCTTCGTATTCGTCCACATACTAAGAAGTATGTTAACGAACATTAGAAGGAAGAAAAGAGTACCTCATAGTTTATTAATAATAATACCCAATACATAAGAAAACACGGATATCCTCCTATGGTGATATACACCATTAAAAATAAATTCTAGTTGCATTTTTGTAGTTAGATGTTAGTAATATTATTGCATAGAGTAATCCCCTTTTCGGCTGCTGCTGAATTAGATGAGGGAATCTGCAGTTTAATCATATATAATATGGCTATTGGCTAGCAGATGCACTATGATAGAAACCACTGTATGCTGCCCTTGATTTGTGCAACTATTGAGTTTAAGAACCGATAGTAGTACGCTATCCTTCTGCATTTTAAGTAATTTCATAATTAGAGTCGTTAGAAAAATCTGTAATTGGAACTTTTATGTCAAATAGTATTTGACAGATAGTTAAATCATGTACTTAACATTGGATTGGTGGGGAAGACAGTGTTGTACATATTTTTTTCTTGTTACAAGAAAACAAGCATTTCAATCTTAAAGAGAGGAGGGATTCAGTGATATTATTTAAAACTTGGCTGTTACTGGGTAAATAATGAAGTCCGAGTTACTTTACGAATATGTCTTCTACAATGCTTAATTTCCTCATGTCCTCATAAATGACAGAACCGTAAATCTATGTAGTATTAACTGGCATTTATCAATTAGAAGATGATGGCATTATGTCTTGTAAATGATTTTATGTTCAAATCATTTTTGACTGTCACAACTGAAACTGAATTTATCTCGAGAATTTGTTCAAGGTTAAATATATATACCATGCTGTGTATTCCATGTACATTACTAAATCTATCTGAAACATGAAGCTTAATCATGTGACATAAAGACTGCATGCATCAGATTTGTTCCTACTATTGGATGGCAGTGATATAAATGCATACCCTTCTCTTAGTTTCCATCTATTAATACGAGTTAAAATAGAATTTGGATACCGGAAATGAACTCTCTTAGCAGCATAATGGTTCGGTTTACATGCTGTTATTGCTCCAACCATGAGGCTTAAGTTCCTGTGTTATAATCGGAATTTTTTTCCTTCTATTTTCAGCATTGTCACCGCATTGAACGCTGCAAAACAAGTATTCATTGGTGTGCAAGAGAAACTCGGTCAGGTAACTTCAGTTTAACCTGTCCTGTTTTCAAACTTTCTATTATACATATAAAATTTCTGTGATTTTTCTTCTCTGTTAATGATGCTCAGTTTCAGAAGAGTTTATCTTTATATCTCATGAGGATACGAGACCTAATTAGCGTTATATACTTGCTTGATTCATGCTATGATACAAGTAGATAACTGCAGACAATCAAAATCTGATGGCATTCTGGCTTAAAAAACGTAACTTTTTTCCTGAAAATATCACTTTAAATTCTTTGGTTCATCAGTAGGAAGTAATCTTTTGTTTTTCCTTGTCCGCATTCACTTGCATTGCTTTATTTCATCTGACTTGGCTATTTAGATAAGTGAATTCTCAAGTTATATTAATATCAGAGTCTGCATGTGAACAATAACACAGATCTTTTAATTATACAGATAAATTTATGTAATACGAAGTAACTGATTCATCGACTGCACCGAAAAATCTAGTGGTTTTATTCTTTGTAGCTTTCATGGTTCTCGATCTATTCCGATTTAAGTGATGTTTACTTTGGGATTTTCTTTTGCTATTTTGCAGCTGGAAAGGAGGATTATCTCTCGTGAAACAGCTGGTCCATAAAAGTGCCATGGACAGCATATCCAGGTGACAAACCGATAGTTGCAGCAACTCATCGGTTTCCATGTCGACCTTAGTCTGTTTGAACCGAAAATCGGGTTTCATTTATCAGTTTGTGGTGTGTCTTTGGTTTCCTTGTCCGACCGTTGTTTGTTGTGGACCGAATATCAGGTTTCGTTTTCAGTTTGTGGTGTGTCTTCGGCTTCCTTGTCCGAATATTGTCTGTTTGAACCGAACATCGTGTCTCTTTTTCAGCTATGTTGTGCGTTTGAATGAAGTCACCGGGTTGTCAAAAACTTGAAATAATATATGTTTTTCTCAAGATTCGATGTTCTTTGTTAGTTCGATGTTATTTCTTTATGCAAAGCTATGTTCGTCCTTCTCCGGCAGCTACATTTGCTCAGACTGTTAGTTTTTCTTGAAGTATTCTTGTACGATACCCGTATGCATCGCATATTCGGCACAGATACGAAGATACGGTACTTCGAGAACCTTCGAAATACACTAAAGTCTTGGAAAAACTGAGCATACCTGTGTTTGATGTATGCTTGGAAGATTCTTATAGGGTTTACGTTTTATAGTACTGGTCACTAAATTGGTAAAATTGCAGTTTGATCCTTTTAAGGAAAAAGGTTTATTAATTATGGCCTCTCCTAAAGTTTATCGATTTCAATTAGAAGCGCGAATGTATGTAGAATTCTTGATCCTTCTATGCACCGAATTCCAAAGCGAGTGAAAAACAAACACCCACCTTTCAGCTACCTCTCTCTCTCTCAAGTGTTTCAACTTTAGATCTGGACCGTCCATTTCCCCCTATAAGTTCATCTCTAACCACAGATTTACATCCCTTCAACCCTTCTCATTTTCTCTCTCCTTCGCCGTCCCGCGTGCGCTCTTGTGGCTCTCTTCAACCCTCGCGTATCTGTTCGAGATCCGTTAGTTCTATCTCTTTCGAATCTCATATTTTTTATAGTCTGATTTTTGTGAGTATTTGTTGATTTTTTGGGTCTCATTTTAGGATCTGATCTGATAAAAAAAAGATGTTTGGGAGAGCGCCAAAGAAAAGCGACAATACTAAATACTATGAGATATTGGGAGTGCCCAAAAACGCTTCCCAAGATGATTTGAAGAAGGATTATAGAAAAGCTGCAATTAAGAATCATCCTGATAAGGGTGGTGATCCTGAAAAGGTTAATTTTTTTTACCCCTTATGTGTTTTTAGTAATTTGGGTTTTGTTTGTTTCATCAATTCTAAATATTGAGTGGAGCGGATTATGAACTGATCTATTAGCATATGTTGATCTAGTTCTTTTGAGTTTCATGTTATGTTTTGAGTAATTGGTCATCAATTGGGTTGACAGGTTGATATAATTGAAGTCACATTAGCTCTAGGATGGCTTGGTTTGAACTATCTTGTTGTTGAATCGTCTATTGTCGTAAAATAAATGTTTTAATGTATAATAAAGATATTTTCGATAATTTTAAAATAAAAATCTATCATTTTAAGTGATACCTATTAAATTGAATTTATTTTTAAAATTTGAAGATCGAAGAAAAGATCATATTTTTTTAATTAAATTCATCGAGAAATGACAGTTAGATCGAATCTATGATCTTGTCTCGAGATATTTAATTAATTGAATATTCTTATTTTCATTAAATATTGATAAAATAAATAATTAATCAATTGTTTGATATGTTTATTTATTATTTATTTAATTTTGATATGTATTTTCAAAAAGTTTTTAAAATAATAATGTTTGATCTGAAATAATTAATATTATTGTTTTCAATCTTAACATTATTTTAGGAATTATTATTTTGAAATTTAGAATGAAATTCTAATATTTTTTTATTTTTATTGAAGTAAAAATCGATTGTTTTAAGGTATGATAAATCGATTATTCTTGATAGGAAATAATTAAATATTTTTATCATCAAAGAGCATTATTCTAAGGGATCTTAAATTAAGTTAAACTCAAACTTGTACATTTTATTGCAAAGACAATTAATTAATTGACTATGTATCGATTTAGAACGTTGTGGGGTGTTAATACATATTTTTTTAGTGTTATTTTCGATTCTAGTATTCTTATTGCTTACTATTTGTGTTTTTATCCTTCATTTTTCATGATTACATGTATTATATTATATTATTTTATTTTATATCATTTAAAAAATATATATAATATATGAAATCATTATAATATATGTTTTTCCACATGTTTTCTTAATTTAAGCTATAAATATGTTTTCCATGTTTTCTTAATTAAGCTATAGTGGTTTAGTTTTTTAAATATATGGAGTCGTTATATTATTTGTTTCCCCACATGTTTCTTTAATTTAAGCTATAGTGATTTAGTTTTTTAATATAGAATTATTATAATATTGTTTCTCTAATTTCCCTAATTTAAGCTATGTTTGATATTTAGCTATTAATAATATATAGAATTATATAGTATTTGTTTCCCACTTGTTTCCTTAATTTAAGCTTTGATTTGTTTGATTTAATATGCATTTTTATCATGATATTTCTTTATTGTAATTTATTGTCCATAATTTGTTTACATTTTGTTTTAATTTATGGGTCAAGATATGCATTTTTCATTTGTTTTTTTATATGTTCACATTATAGTTCCTTATATTTCTGGTGCTGTGTCCTATTTTATTTCGTTAATAAATATTTTGATGTATTTTCATTTTAGTTTAAATTCATTTATGTGTACATATGATTTGCATGACATCTTAATTAATTTCGTATGATATCCTCATAAACATTAGACTCGAATCAAAATAATTGATTAAGGGTAATATTCAATCGTTTTAAAATTATCGAAAATAACTATCTTACGTTAAGACAGTACATTACGACAATATTAAAATGATCGAATATTACTCTTAATCAAATTTTTGATTCGAGTCTAATGTTATGAGGATATCATGCGAAATTAATTAATGTCATGCAAAACATATGTACACATAAATGAATTTAAAACTAAAATGAAAATACATCAAAATATTTAATTAACGATAAATAAAATAGGACACATGCACCAAAACATAATAAGGAACCATAATGTGAACATATAAAAAAACAAATGAAAAACATATCTTGACCCATAAATTAAAACAAAATGTAAACAAATTATGGACAATAAAGAAATATCATGATAAGAATGCATATTAAATCAAAGCTTAAATTAAGGAAACAAATACTATAATAATTCTATATATATTATTAATAGTTAAACACCAAACGTAGTTTAAATTAAGGAAAGTGGAGAAACAAATATTATAATAATTCCATATATTAAAAAACTAAACCATATAGGTTAAATTAAGGAAAACATGTGGGGAAACAAATAATATAATGACTCCATATATTAAAAAAACGATCGAACATTATATTTAAAAACCTTTGAAAATACATGCCAAAGTTAAATAAATAAATATCAAACAATTGATTAATTATTTATTTTACCAATATTTAATGAGAATAAAGATATTCAATTAATTAAATATCTCGAGACGATACCATATTCGATCTAACTGTCTTTTCCGATGAATTTAATTAGAAGAATATGATCTTTCATCAATCCCCAAATTTTAAAATGAATTTAATTTAATATGTGTCACTTAAAAGGATAGACTTTCGTTTTAAAATTATCAAAAATAACTTTCTTATACGTTAAGACAGTTACTTTACGACAATATTAAAATGATCGAATATTACCCTTAATCAAATTATTTTGATTCGAGTCTAATGTTTATGAGGATATCATGCAAAATTAATTAAGATGTCATGCAAAGCATATGTACACATAAATGATTTAAACTAAAATGAAAATACATCAAAATATTTAATTAACGATAAATAAATAGGACACATACACTAAAAACATAATAAGAAACTATAATGTGAACATATAAAAAAACAAATGAAAAACGTATATATTGACCCATAAATTAAAACAAAATGTAAACAAATTATTGATAATAAAATACTTTTAAAGTAATCATTGTATACATGATAGGCATAAATGATCATGACATGAAAACGCATGATAATGATAGATATGCCAAGTTCTTACAGGAATATTTGAGATGTAAGGATTCAACAAAAAAACAAGTGTTCAAATTTTCATGTGATGGTGACAAGAAGAGCTCCCACAAGAGAAATCCTTATAGAGATTGGAGCGGTAGAGACAGTTAATAAGAACATTAAGAGGCTCATACAGAAAATGACTGAAACTTATAGAGATTGGCATGAGAAGTACCATTTGCTCTATTTGCTTATCGAACTTCAGTAAGGACGTCAACTGGGGCAATTTCCGTTCTCTTAGCCTATGGGATGGAGGTTTTATACCCATTAAAGTTGAAATTTCGTCACTTCGAGTGCTATCAGAGGTTAAGCTAGATGAAGCAGAATGGATGCAAGTAGATCTGACCAGCTAAATCTAATTGAGGAAAAAAAAGATTAAAAGCTATATGTCATGGGCAAATCAGATCGTATAAGGGGCACATAACAAAAGATTCGCCCACAAGAATTTTAAGAGGGAGATCTGGTACTAAGAAAAATAGATGCCCAATTGGGAAGGACCTTATGGTAAAGAAAGCCTTTTCTGGTGGAGTTTGATTCTCACTGAGATGGATGGACCAGAATTCCCTAACCCTGTGAAAAGTTAAAGCCTTGTGATACACGTAAAGTTCAGCAACATGAAATAATTCAGAGATTGTCGCTAGTCAAATAGCTAGCCATGCTTGGGCTCAAAGGTTAAAAAGAAACCAAAGAGTATCCAATTCGAAGATAATGATAGATATGCCAAGTTCTTACAGGAAATATTAGAGATGTAAGGATTCAACATAAAAACAAGTGTTTCAAATTTTCATATATGATGGTGATAAGAAAGCTCCCACAAGAGAAATCTTTTCCAAAGATTACAACCCTAAAACTTACAGGTATGATATTTTAAAATCTTCAAACACAATTTAACTAAATGTTTAAATTTTCAGATTTGTCAATCTTAAAGACAAGTGGAACAAGTCTGCCCCCATTCAGTGGATCAAACTCCTGTAAGATCTGATATTCTCTTCAGAGTAAACGGAACATGTATCTCTCTTTCTCAAGATCTGATATTCCCTTCAGAGTAAGCGGAACAGGC